GACAGTAAAATAAAATGTCACAGCAAGAACATATTGGGATTTCTAAGCCTCTGGAAAAGCCACTGGTGTTCCTGAGATATGTTACTAAGTTTTACTTGGAAAGCACATCTGTAGAAAGCAATATATTGCAGATTTTGAGAGGAAAAAGAGGCAAGAAGCCCCTTTTGATTGAGCATTAGGAGAATGAATGTTTTAGCCTAGAAGATTGTGGCCATAGAAAGGAAGAGAAGAGAGTATCATACCTGCTCCAATCTTTTCATACATGGTTAGAGAAAGAAAATACTAATGCATTCCTTTATATGATCTCTATACTACAATATGTTCTCTATGTTCATATGTTCTCTATGCTACAATAAAATTGAGTTCTCAATTCAAGAAAGAAAAAGGAAATCTTTCCAGTTGAAGGAACTGTGCAGTGTGATATGAAGGAAGAAAAAACGGTGTAGTCAAAGGATGATGAGAAATCTACTTCAAAAAGATGTAAATGAGCAACTGAATAACTGTCTTGCAGGGATTGTCATATCTGGCTCTTCATGAAGGCAGGAGATGGGACTAAAGAATGGATGGATTACACAAGATTCTGTAGTTGACTGAAGTGTAAATTTGCAACATCTCCAAGCCATTAGCCAATCTTAAAAGTGTAAGACTGACCCTACAATAAGAATCCTCAGAAGTATTTACTCTGGCATTTTGCTTGTCTCACTTTCAGCATTCATAAGTTACTTCCCTGTATTTGAGATTGTTACAGTCACAGAAATGCTGTCTGGAAAGAACTCCAGGGATCTTAACCTGGTATCTTTGTATCTAAAGCATGAGGTTAAACCTGCCTGTAGGGGTTCTTTTGGACAGTGGAAAGGAATAGATAGATCCAGAGTGGGTTGCACCTCCTCCTGAAGTCAGTATATAATATATCTGTGCTGTCTAGAGGAGAAACTTATTATGACTATTTTAAACATTAGGCAAATAAATTTAATGTCTATCTTCCACAGCTTATCTGCTTTCCTTCTCTCTCCACAATTTCTCTCATTTGCCATCCTTCACTGAATGAGCATTTTTCTTCATGAATACTTTTTTTTCCCATAAATTTATGCATGAAATAGCTGAAAACATATAAAAATATTCTCTCTTAAATGTGTGTTGCTCAGAGGAATGTATGAAATATTAACACATCAGAAAAAAACCCAGAAGCTTATGAGAGAGAAGAAATAGTTCATGCCTTCCTAAGATACACATGTATCAACCCAACCCCTGCTGATCTTAGGAAGGCACAACTTTTTTCATTTGAATGTGGTTTTGTTTGGCTTGTGGGTAATGAACCTATAAGTGACAGTGAGCAACATACATGACCTAACAGGTGATATGTTTGGGGATGTATGAGTTAGGATTTATCACACTGAAGAAAGCTGTTGCAGCAACTGGGATGATTAATAATAGCCTGTATTATATTTATAATAATTTTGAAGTCTTGCCTTTCTCTGTGGAGACTGACAGTAATCTTAAAAGGGAAAGGGGGGAAAAAAATTGTTTATGTTTTGAATATTTGTACAGTGTCTACCTAATTGTACCAAGCTAACAGTACAACCTTTGTGGTTGGTAACATACACACATGAGTGTGCAGATGAAAAGCCCTGCATTTAAAACATCACCCTGGCAATGCAGACAAAAGCAGTTGTTTCTCCTTTATTTTATTGATTCTTGCATAAAGTTTGAGGTTCTTCTGGTTAAATGTTAAGGGTGCGTGTCAAGTGTACAGTGTGCTTCTAAGAACCCTAAGGTCTCTGAGACATTTATGTGTGGCTGACACATGCCATAGGTGGAATGCACTCCTCCCTGGCATTGCAGCTGGAAGCCTGTTGCTCCAAGAGCATTGCAGTGGCAGAATGGTTACTTTCTGGTGGAACTGGGATTAGCTCCAATTAATTGCATTAAAATGCCTAAATCTCTCCATTGACCAGAAGGGGAGCCTTTCCAGCTCTTGGCATCTGCTTGGAGGACACATGAAATAAGGGAGGAGTCCTGGCTCAACAAGCCATGGCAGGATAATGTTGTGAGGGCACTGGGGTTAGGATTCATTTGCCCCATTCTGCTCTGGCTATTCACAGCCACTTGCTTTGTAACTAGTTAATACAAATGGGCATCTGCCAGAGGGCTGCTGTCACTTATGAATAAAATGGTAGCAACTCACCTTAATGTGATGATGTTGCTATTCATTAACAAAAGTCAAACTGAGATCAGGAGAGAACTTTATATAAATTGATATGTGGTGACTCCTCTGGGTTTTTTTGTGTTTTCCAGGTGAGTTTCCTTATATCATCTGCAATAAGTTTATAATTGCTCCCTCTTAAATAGTCAAGAGCAACAGTACCTCAGTGTATCATCTTTGATGTTTCAGTATTAGCCATATCCTAGTTCTTCTCCATGGTCCTTGAGTAGTCTCAGTGAGGTTTCTTTGTTGATTATAAGGTCCACTTAGGATGTCTATGTGATATGGTTCTCTAATGTAATTATACGAGCTTGCCTGTGTCTGACAGGTTAATATGTATTTAAAGGAGGGAGATGAGCACATTATCACTTGCTTGGCACCCTGCCTGAAACAATTGGAGTGAGCTTCTCGAGAAGGTTTATGCCTCTTCCAGGGAGACTCAGAGAAATCCTGGGGTCATTCAGCCCCTACACAGGTGTCTCACTGAATTACTGGACAGCGGTCAGGTTGAACATGATGTTCTCTGGTTATAATCCTTGTTGGCCAGAAATTCTGCTTCAGGCACTGTCCATTCCATGGCCAGGTAAAATCAGGGCTTCTCTTCCTGACCATATCCCAGCTGGTACAAACTGGCATAAGGTCCAAGGTCCATGTTACAGTGGTACAAATGGTTTGTGGTTTTCAGTAGAACCTAATTTTGTGAAATAGAGAAGTGGACGCATGACCTTTTTTTTTACAGATGACATCCGAGGCCTTGTTCAGTAAAAATGCTCTGTAAATGTTCAGAATGATTTTTGAGGAAAATTTTTTCTCTTGAGATCCAAGATTCTTTGTTGAAGAAACTCACGTAGGCAGGAAAAAAGCCCCAGAGATTGAAATACACACCAGCCCTTCTGTTGAATTATCACTATTCCAGTGTGGAAGGCATAGCAGCAATAAATTACTTAAAAGGTAGGATATACATCTCTGTTCACCAGATCTCTGTTAATAATCTGGTATGCATGTACATGTTAATGAGGAAAATCTGTTTAATATGTAATATCATGGAAAAAGCAATGCTATAGAGCTGTAGTTTCTTTCCTTCCAGCTCAACAATGACAGCTCCAAGGGAATCTCCTTAGCTAATTCAGACAACAGTTTTTGAAATACATACAATCAATTAAGGACATCAAGATCACTCTGTTGAGGTGACATAAGTATTATTCCCCACATGCTATCCTAGAATGTGGAGAAGAGCTTCTGGTCAGAAGAGGTATATACCATGTCTCTGTGTTCTTAGCTAATTCTAGGATAGTCTCCCACCTCCTACTGGAAAATTATGTGTTGTCCATATGACCTATTTCTCATCATTGTAGATTCTGAAAATAGTGAAAAACTTTGAAAAACAACATTAATCTGATAAAGACAGTGATTTTAATCACAATTTTTAAAGTTTATATTACAACATTTAAAACTTGACAAAGTTTGAAAGAATAGTAAAGATTAAATAACTGGACTTCATCTTGGGGAGAAATTTTAGTACAGAGTAATAAGGCACCAATTCACGTAACCATTGACTCTGTTATCTAATTGTCCTTCCTATATATCCATTTTAGTTACTTTTTCACTAAGTGCCTGACTCCAAAAAAATGATTTTGTTCACATAGAATCATTGAGATATTTATGTTCCTTACATAATCAAAGGATAAAAACAAGCATGCTTTTAATTTAAGATCTCTCAAATGAAAGCTCACTTTATCTGAATTATACATCTGTTGTTTTCCACTTATTATAGTTATGGACTGTACTGAGCACTTTACTGGGCACTCAGGATTCAGTCCGCATAGGCATTTTCTGAGACTGTGGGCATAAAACAAGAGACACCTGCATAAATGTCTAGTGCTTTTGACTATACAACTGGAAAGAAGTTTACTTGTGTCTTAGGCTCATCTCTAACAGTGGAAGGAGGAATTAGGTGGATATTGTTTTACACTGCTGCCACCCCAGCAGTTGTCTGTGATCATCAGATTATGATATGTACCGGTTGACAAAGTCTTCAATCTTTGTTATTAAGGTGGGCCCATACTTGCAGCTCAGAAAATGAGTCATGATACCAGGAAAAAAAATGAATATTGAAGCATAGCCACACTGAGACTAAACCTTTATTGGATAGCAGTAAAGATGGAGACTGATGGAGACCATAGGAACTGAGCAGGCACATAATGAATATTGCACTGAGCACTCAGCACTTACAGGGAACTAGAATATTGCCATTTGTTTTATATACACAAGCACACACACGTAAAACTATTTTTTATCTGTTTCTCAAGGTTAGATTGTTGACAGCTGGGTATTAGGCCAAAGGGATATTCAACCTGTCTCAGAAATCTTCTATTCTCCCCTTAGGAAGCAGAATGCTGGAAACTTGAAACAGATTTTTCATATACCTTGCCAGTCAGACTGAGTCAAGTAAACAGTAACAGCCAATGGTAGTATAACTGCTTAGGATAATGATGGTCATATGATTTCTTTTGTATATACACAATATTTATTAATTCTTTTGGCATCAAACATCTCATGTTTATATGCTAGCATTCCATGGAAATTGTGGTGACATTGGCAATATTGACAAGGTGGAGCAGTCAAAGCCCTCAGGCTGCAAAACATTAATCCTAGATGATGACTACTATTATGCAATATGATAATTACTCAGTCCTTCTTTTAAACAATTGTTTGTTTCTTTGTTTTTTACCTTGGGAGAGGGTAGTAGGAAAATAAATTCAGCGCCTTTGCAGTTTGAAAGTTACTCTGAGCTAAGATGTTGCTGTGCATTCCCTTGTCACCAGGTCTCCAGGAAGCAAAGACAGACATCTCAATGGCTACCAAGGTATGCTCTTTCTACCCTGGGTTTCCCCTCTATTTCCTAATCCCAGTTCTGGCTGCTTCATTGTCCACATTATATGACACTTGTGTTTTGATTTTTTTTTTACTGGATGTAATTTTATGTGCTTCATGATAATGTTGCTCTGCAAAGTATTTGTAAGGACTAACTTAAATTTTTTGAGACTTCCTCTCTAGACGATAGCTAAAGGGGAGCCTCAAGAATGTGAATCAGAACAAGGGTAGGATTTATCTCACCTAACTTTAAATATCTGCATTAATGATTTCTACATATGAGATAGCTGTGAATGCATTTCATAGTGGGGTTAAACAGGAAGCTCTGGGGTGTCTGAAATATGGTTTAGGATTGTGACTCTAGAAGTGCTTCTTGCTCTCCACTGAACTTTAAGGACACTCAAGGGACTGTGGGTTTCAGGCTGAAGTTGAAGTTGAAGTGAGATGAATGCTGCCACAGGCATATACAAACCTAGGAAAGTTCTATTTCTTTAAGCTACTGTGAACATTAGATCAAGTTAGACATGTGTTCTTAACTGAAGAATACACCGCTGGCTCAAGGAAATCAACTGGTGAATTTCACTGAATTTGATAAATCGCTTCAACAAGAAAAAATATTTCAGATCTGCTGTTACTACTGTGTAAAAAATGATAACAAGTTAAACAAAGTTTCTTTTTTGAAAATGGACTATTTTGTTCAGTGAGAAGTTTGAGGACATTTTAATTTGGAAGAACTGAAATGTTTGACTGTGTTCTTTCCTTTTCACTTTGTCTATTAGGTTCATAAATGCTGCCTCTTTCATCCTGTTTTTAGAGCGTAATACAAAAATGAGTTCCCTGATCTTCTTTACAATGATGTTAGGTATTGACTCAGAGCGAACACTGGCTAGTCTGTAGAAAGCTGGATTGTCTGTAAGGATCCCATATATTGATTTTCTTGCAGTGAGAAGTATACTTACTCTGAATGTGTTTCACTTTGTATGACAGGATGACAGTGAAGTCCGTCTGTCTCATGATCTCTCAGAAGGTGAGATAAAAGCCACTCAGAAGAGAAGAGAAAAAGTACTTATGTGTCTGAAAAACCTTGGGATTCATTGTGAGCAGGTAAGCACTGACAGTCCTATCAAGGAAAGAAGGATAACGCTCCAGTGATGTGAACGTCACACAGAGTGACATCTGAAGTGAGGTCCAGTCCCTAGGAAGCAACATCTGTCATCACAAGTTCTCCAGTGCAGGCTTTCTGTCCACTGCTGGGAAAAGAATTCAGGCTGAGAATTTCCAAGGAGACAAAAGGGAGCAGGACGCTGAATTTAGCTGCTGTTAGCCACTTCATGGAAAGCAGGGCCTCGGCACATGTAACACTACTTGGGAAGACAAATGCCATAACCAAAAAACATCCCCACTTCTTTCTTTCCCTAAGCTTTTACTGCTGAGCATAATGTTATATGGTATGTAATATCCCCTTAGTCAGTTTGACTAAGGGGGTCAGCTGTTCCATCGCAACGGTGCCCTCTCCCAACCTCCTGCCTACCACATGCCTACTTACTGGGGGTGGAGTGCAGAGTGGGAAAGAGAAAGAGCCTTGGTGTTGTGGGAGACTGTTCAGCAAGTCAAAATATTGGTGTGTTATCAATACCTTTTTAGCCACAAATCCAAATCACAGTACCAAATGGGCTGCTGTGAAGGAAGTTAACTCTGTTCCAGCCAGATCTAGTACAATACATTTCTTGAGAAATTTCGGCGTCTGGGTGTAATATTTCTACCTTACTGTTTTGGGAGAGAAAAAAAAAAGTTCTCGGTGACAAAAAGAGAATAGAGGTGACATCTAGAGAAATACAATGAGTACTGCTCAAGGTTTATTTATATTTTGAAGCTACAGCACAGAAACATAGCCACAACAAATTTCAGTACCTGGAAGACAAGTGATAGCACAATACAAAGGAGAACCCGTTCTGTGACTGTAATGTAAAGGAAAAAGGAAAGTAGGGGGAAAGAGGCAGGTTATGGAATGTGTCTCAAAGCAAGGAAGCAGGTAAGGTGAGACTTTATCCCTGTCCATTTGTTAAGTCTTTGCTCTAAAAGAATGGTGGTTTCTGTCTTCCATTCCCCAGAATAATGTGCCTAATATTGTTGTTCTGGGATCAGGCGGAGGCTTGCGTGCCTTGATAGCCCTGCTAGGAACCTTGGTCGAGCTGAAGAAAAATAATCTCTTGGATGCTGTCATGTATCTGTGCGGGGTGTCAGGATCCACTTGGTAGGTACCTGTTGTCTGGTGTGACTGTAGATGTTTTTCCTGCTACATATATTCAGTATCAATTTGACACTTTCATCACTGTTCAGAACTCTTGGGCTCCCAACAGATGAACTGTGTGGTAGGTGAGATATTTGCCTGTACACTAGTGGGAGGCACAGGGAATATTCATGACATTAACTACAGCCCAGCGAGATTGATCTTTCATCTCCAGAGAGGAAGAAATTAGTGCTTCTCAATGGTAATTCAAATAAAGACTTCACTTGACCACCCAGTCTTACCTTCTGGAAGTGATAATTCCCCCTGTTCACAGGCCATGAGGACCACCCAGGAAAGCTTCTAGGTAACATCCTACTCAGAAGGACAAGGACTTATTTAGGGGAAATGGTATATTTAAGAGGGGCACATGCCACTAAGCTACATCTCTCAAGCGTATGGGAATGAGTCAGGTGCCTAAATGTAAAAATATAGTGCCATTTCAGGTATTTTACCAGCCCACTACCAGTTTAGAAGATCACTGGGTCTCCTGCATATACTGCATCAAATCTACCATCAAATCTGTGGTGATGTGACTCATCCTTGTGGCAGATTAAATGGCGTTACATATGTATGGTTATGGTCTTGAATGTTTATACCTCATTTACTTTTTAAGGCTTACCTTATATACAATGAAAAGAAATGATATGCAGGAACATGAGCCATTTTACATTAAGGCGCATGTGCAGCATGTCAATCACATGCCAGGATTGCTCACTAAGCTGAAATGACTGTGAAGGGAGTCTAGCTTATAGGTCCCATACAGACATCTGCCCTGTGGGGATAGAACTCTGTCCGAGTCTAGCAATTCTCAATTTAGTCTTCATTATGTGTATCTGTATGTGACATACACACCTCTCCTTCCATTTCACTTAAGGGGTTAGGATTATGCTCTCTAAAGACAGACAGACTTCCAACAGCAGTTCAGAAGCCCCAGGAGGAAATCCTCACTGCTTTTCAGCAACTGGCTCGAGAGGACACAGATCTTCCACAGATCATGTGTTATTGTCTTTCAAAGGAGGGTGGAAGTCTTGGGCACTGTAGACTACCTAAACTGTCACTGTCCATGATTAGGTACCATATATGGTGTCTGCAGTGATCCAGAACAGCTGCTTCCTTGCACAGAACACGCTGCTCTAGATGAAGAAGGCAATGTTGTACACCTTAATTTATTTCTAATTTAGGCTGTAGAGATGGTCTTGGAACAGAGTGAGCCTTTACATCTCTGCAGGTAGCTAGCATGAGCTGAGAACTGTAAGTTTAGTAGGAGATGATGTCACTCTGCAAGTGTACCAGCTTTATTGGTCCTAATAATAGACAAAAAACATTCATGAGTCTCTAGTGCAAAATGATGACATGGTGTAAATAATTCTACATGTTTAAATTTGTTCCAAGTTGGATTATCCATGTCTTGGCAGATTTCACATCTTTCCCACAAACGCTGTCTGCAAAATCTTAATTCCTGCAGCAATTTACCCTTAATATATGGCACGCACCCTGCCAATATCTAGCTTCAGGTCATCTAACTAACTAAATTATAGTATCAGTATGCAGCTGGGAAGTAAGTGATCAGGGAATAATGACGCCTTTCTATGATGTAAAATGCCTTGCTTTTGTAGAAGCCTGGGTCGTCTTCCTTCTCCCACACATTTCCTGTGTCTGCAGGCAGATTTAAACAAAAAACAAGCAAAAAAAAAAAAAAAAAAACCCACTCATTTTCCTCTATGCTAGAGATAGGACTCTTCTTTTTCTTCAAAGGTGCATGTCACTCCTGTATGAAGATAGAAAATGGTCAGAAAATTTAATGTCCTTGGAAAAGGAACTGTGTAAAAACCTCAGCAATTTGTCCTGGCATATTACAAAAGCAAAAGAATCCTTGGCAGAGTCATCAAAAGACGAACATTACTCACTCACTGACTTCTGGGCCTCCTGTTTTGTATACAAAATACTGCAGCAGGTAAGAAGTTAACTGCAAACACCTTGGGAGTGTTTTGGAGGTCTCAGAGTAATTGCAACTAAATTTGACCTTGGTGGGTGTTTTTTTGAGGAGCTGTATAAATTGAAGCAATATTTTAGAGCATGATATCGTATCTCTATATGTGGAAAGGTAGAATCAGTTAATGTGACTCCTTGGTTAATCCAGTCTTTTAAATGGGGGTGTCCTCAGTGCTATAGTAGAGAGGAGGGGCATTTTATATTCCTTCAGAAGTTCATACTTCTCTTCCAGTTTGATGAGAATGAGCTGGCTGATCACAGGGAGGCCTCAGAGACTGGAATAAACCCTTACCCGATTTATGCAGCAGTAGATAAAGAAGCACTGAAGGAAAAAGATGGAAACTTGCCAGGTAAAATATGAGCCTCTAGTCTAACTGTATCTTAAATACCATGCATTATGTTACTTCAACTCAATGGCAGGCATCAACTCACTGACATCCAGTTGCAGTTTGTCAACCTGTAACTTTGTTTATAGATAATGGAGAAAAATGTGTATTCGCAGGGGCTGAATCACATTCTGTAAAAGTGCCATTTATGATAGGATAAGGTGAGGCATTCCTAGGATGGAATGGGCTAAATAGATTATATGAAATATCAGTGAAATAGATCTTCAAAATGTAGAAGCTTCAACATAGGCATTTAGTGCCATCACAGATCTTCTTGGCCTCCTGATTTTTCAGCAGGGTACAGATCTCTTGTAAATGCTTTATCACATCCATCAACCCTATATGTGGAGCTATAGAATAATCCATTGCTTCTAAAACTGAACTAGTCAACTATATCCTTTTTCACTAGTTAGGGAAGAGGCCTTTGTATGGAGAAGTTTTCTTTCAAGCAACTACTTTTACTTTGTCCCATTAAACTGACTTTTCCCTCACTGTAATTTAAAACTCTGACTGTCTCTCCTACTGCTCCTTGCATAGAGCACAGGTCATCTCTTTCCACTTACCAATGGTAGGCTCTGATTTAAGGTGATGAGATTTGATTTATAAAGGACAAGCTGAACTGGAATTGTGATAATCCTGGAAGGTCTGAGTGAGAAATGGGAACTTCATTCTTGAAAGGAAATATGATCGGGGAAGGGATTATGAAATGAAGAGTAGATGGCTTTGAAGTTTAGGCAGGTGGGTGTGGGATAGTAGTCACAACCAACAAAAAGTTTCACCATTTTTATCAGATTTTATTTTCCATACCTGTTAAAAAAATTGACCTCTCTCTGGAGCAAACAAGTCTTCATTCAGTCATCCACACAGAGGACCACGGTTCCATTTGAGATGCCTTACCATACTCTGCCTGCTTCACCAACCTTTCTAAAGTGTTATTTCAGCCCTGTGCTATAACTGTCAGCCCTATGCAGATGACTCAGTTCACCATATGTCCTTAGGTACCATGGGTTCCTAGTTACGTAACTGTGGCCTCTTGAATCAATCAAAGTCTCTTCTCTTCATTGACTCTAAAGAATGTTAGGGCAGGCAGACTCTGTCACCTCTGCATGAGCATCAAGAGGTCTTTGAGATATCTAACACATCTGAGATCTGCACAGAGCTATACAATGACACATGATGTGTAGGAGACCAAGACCTTTCTGATGTGGCAGCTGGAGGCCAGGGTAGGAAGGATAACAAGAGCATATCAAAGAGCATATCAAAGAGCATGTTTTTGACTTAGTTTGTTCCCCTTATGTCAATTCATCCATGTCAGTTAATATTGGGTGATTTTAGAAAGGAAGAGAAAAACAATTAAAATGCTACTTTGGGACAGTGAGGTCAGCTATGCTTTTTTTTTTTTTTATTGAGTGGCAAAACTGTTTGATTTTTCTCAGAGACCTGGTTTGAATTCACTCCACATGAAGTTGGATATACTGCCTTGGGTGCTTTTGTGAGTACCAAACACTTTGGGAGTGAATTTGAGAATGGTAAGCTGAAGAAAAAGGGGAAGAAGAAACACATTTGTTACATGCAAGGTGAATCTTCCTAATTCTGCTTTGTAGAAAAAAAAATACTGGTTTAGCTATTCTGTATCTTTCTGTAACTAGCAGGAATGTATCTATTATTCCATGAATGCATGCATGATAGTATATGAATTCTGGAGAGCAGTTTGTCTCACTTTACACATTCAAACCAGAACATCTGAATGCCTCTCTACACTCCACTGTCACACTGAACAATTTTCTGTGGTTGTTATGGGAAGTTAGAGACCTACACTGCAGATTACTGGTGTTAACATTATATTTAGTCCCAACCTGGTTGTCTAAATGTTCTATAATCTCAGCATGTTCACTTTACAGGGAGAGATGCTTCCCAAATTAGAGACATCCTACTGTGAGAACTGGTAGCTCCTATTTTACTGTTGTGTTTCACTCTGTCTCAGGCCAGGTCCAAAATTCTTTTATCCCCTACCTAAGTGGTATAGCTGCAAATCTCATCTCACTTGTCTGTGACACAACTAAACATAGCTGGCATCCTTAAACACATCTTGTGTTTAATGACTTCATGCCCTAGTCTCCTCAAAAACACATCCTTGACATCATGCTACAGGCAAAAAGAAAAAGAAAAAAAAAAAAAAAAAAAAGGCACACCTCTAGTTCTTACTATTTAATTCACTCAGAAGGAAAAGCAAATAAACACAACATATCCATGAAGAGTACTTACTCCTCTAGGCTCATGTGTGAGGCTGGCCCAGGGAAGTGTTCAACCAAGAGTTCTGCAGTGAGAGAACCCAATATTTTCCATGGGATTCTGACCTTAAGTATCATAAAAAGCTGGTCCACAAAAATGTGTAGACCTAACAGGAAGAAGAGGGAGTAAATAGTATCAGGAAGTGTATAATCATTTCAGTAGACAGAAAGGGAAGACTAGGCAAGGAGATTTGATTTAGACATCTGTCTTGCAGATTTTGAAAGTTAAGTAAAAGAAGTGTACTGCTGAAAAGCAAACTTGGATTGGAATCTTAGACTATTATAAAGCAAGCACTTTAATCACATTTTTTCTTTTTGGTTCAGGCTTATGGGGGAGTGCTCTTGGAAACATGGAAGAAAATCTAAAGTTTATACGAGGTACTCCATTTTTTCTGTTGCCAGTATGATCAAATCAGTTGTTGAGCCTGCTGAAATTGAGCACATGCTTTACATTACTTTCAAGGAATTCCTGCAGTCCTCTAGTTCCAAACAGAAATACAGCTATGCCTAACAGAAGCTCCACTGGTATTCCATTTGTCATCATCAGAGATGACAAGACAGAGATTGTCCAGATCTTATCCCAGACTGTTCAGGTTGAAGAGTCAAAATTCCAATTGTATCAAAGTGGGAGCACTCTTTGGATATCCAATTGGGAAGTGGAGACTCTCAATTGCAAAAGCCGGAAGCTGGTGACTTCTGGCACCAGAAGGAAGGCTCCTGCTCCACCTGAAGATTTGCAATTATGGAATACATTTAGTATGCTCAGAAAAGATGAGGGACTGCAAGCATGAGGGTCTGAGAGCTCTGTCAAATGAAGCATGAGTCACATGAACCAATAGAATGAAGTGCTGAGTTATAGGAAGGAGAGACTCCATGCTGCAGTGGACAGACAGCCCCCTCTGCCAATCTGATCTCTGGTCTAGGGGGATTTGCTGCTTGTTGAGGTCTTGGATCTGGGAGACCTTGTGGAGAGATACCCATTGCCTGTGTGTGCCTCAGGTTATCACCCCACACTGCTCTTCATCAAGGGCACTAAGGAAACTGCCAAGTGAGACCTGAAGTGTCAAGCATGCCTACATCTGGTGAGGGATGTGAAGGGCAACAAGAAGGGCTTCCATAGGCATATCATGAGCAAAAGGAAGACTAGATAAAATGTGGGCCTGCTGCTGAGTGTGTTAGGAGTCCTGGTGACAAAGGAAATGGAGAAGGCTGAGGTACTAAGTGCCAACTTTGCCTCACTCTTCACTGTTTCATCTGGCCTTCAGGAATCCTTCAGTGGGAAATTCTGGAGCAAGGAAGTCCCTTATCCTTGGGAACATGTAAAGAAATTGCATCAAGTTAAGGAACATGTAAACAAATTGGACATATGCAAGTCCATGGGACCTAATGGGATACTCCCACAATTTCTGGTGGAGCTGGCTAACGTCATTGCAAGGCCACTCTCAATCACCTTTGAAAATTCACAGCAATAGAGGGGGGTTTCTGATGACTGGAAGAAATATGCCATTCATGTCTTCAGAAAGAGCAGAAGGAGGATCTGGAAAGTCTTAGGTCAGCCAGCCACACCTCAGTCCCTAGGAAGAAGATTGAGCAAATCCTTGTGGAAGGCCTTTCCAAACACATTAAGGATAAAAAGCCAATGAGGACTAGTCAGCATGGATTTATGAAGGGCAAATCACACTTAGCCCACATGAAAGCCTTCTATGATGAGATGACTGTCTCTGTAGATGAGCAGAGAGCATCAGATGCTGTTTACTGTGCTCTCAGTAAGGCTTTGGACACTGTCTCCAATCACAACCTCATGGATAAACAGGAATTATGGCCTAAGTGGATAGTGGGCTGGATTGAAAACTGTCTGAATTTATGGGCCAAGAGAGTTGTGTTCAGTGGTATGAAATTCAGCTGGTAGCCAGGCACTAGTGGTATATTACAGGACTGAATTCTAGGACTGATGTCTTTAACATCATCATTAACAACACAGATATTGGGGCCAAGTTCACTCTCAGTAAGTTTACAGATAATACAAAACTGGGAGGACTGGTTGAGTAATCCAGAGAAGTCTTTACAGGCTGGAGAAATGGACCAACAGGAACCTCATGAAGTTCAACAAAGGGAAATGCAAAGTCCTGCATGTGGAAAGGAATAACCCCAGGCACCAGGACAGGCTGCAGACTGATCAGTTGGAAAGCAGCTTTTCAGTCAAGACCTGGAGGTCCTGGTGAACGCCAGGTTGAAGATGAGCCATCAGTGGTCCCTTGTGGCGAAGAAGGCTAGTAGTACCCTGGGATGCCTCAGGTCAAGGAAGGTGATCATTCCCTTCTACTCAGCACTGGCCATGCCACACCTGGAATACTGTGTCCAGTTCTGGGTTCCCCAGCATGAGAAAGATGTGGACCTAATTGAGGGAGTCCAGAAAGGGGCCACAAAGATGATTCAGGGACTTTCATATGAGCATCTTTCATATGAAGGGAGACTGAGAGAGATGGGACCGCTCAGCCTGGAGAAGAGAAGCCTCAGGGGGATCCTGCCAATTTGTATAAATACCTGATGAGAGGATTCAAAGAAGATGGAATCAGGTGCTTCTCAGTAATATCTACTGAAAGGACAACAGGCATTGAACAAAACTTCAAATACTAGAAATTCAATTTAAACATAGGAAAAAACATTTTTACTGTGAGGATGGTTGAACACTGGGACAGATTTCCCAGGGAGACTCTGGAGTCTGCATTCTTGGAGATATTTAAAAACCCATCTGGATATGGCCTGAGCAACTTGGTGTAACTAACCCTGCTTTGAGCACAGGAGGTGGATTAGATGATCTCCACTGGTCCCTTCCAACCTCAACTGAATTTCTCTGAAAATGACAAAATAAAGCACTGATTCTTGCATGTCATTTTAGACATTTACAACATTGTTATGAATGAGTTGCTCACCTTAAGGTCTCTTCATGAGTGAGAAAGAACTACACAGGTGCTCTTCATATATACATTTAGATGTCTGCCTCAAGATGTGATGAACCATTGTCTAGAAATTCCTCTCCACTGAATATAAGTCTATGGCAGAATGAGTGAGGACTGTTGAAGTCCAACTTTGGTTAGGTGAATCTTTGACAGTACCACAGGGGAAAGTTTAAATATTCACATCAGTGAATGTGCACTGATCTTCTTCACATTATATTCCTTGTGATGTGGAAGCATCAGAGAGATTATCTTAAACTCCAAGGCAGGGGGGCTATAAAGACTGCTGAGGGAATAATTGAGGTGACTGAGATGCCATCAGGTATCTGAGGCATCGAACACAGAGGTATGAGTGATGAACAGAACCAGCGGGTGATTAGTACTCTTCTAGAGTGTCAGCCACAAAGCAGGTGAGAGCCTCCAAGAAATCTGAAATGTCATTGTACATCTGTGTTTAGGTGCATGGCTAGCTTTCCTGATGTCTTTCATTGGTGGACAATGACTATTTTATCGGGACAAGTATTCTTATTTTAATTGTATTAAATTAATTTTATTTATTTATAATTAATTTAAATTTATATTTTAATTTTATTTACTTTTATTTCTTCTAAGATAGTCTCACCTTATTCCTACAAAGAAGAGCTTTCTTGTCTGAAGGCATATTGTCGTATGGACTTGGTGGGTTATTATGCTTCTTTGTTGCTGTTTGTTTGCTTGTTTGTTTTTGTCTATTATTACTTTTTAAATTTAACATTCTTTTTTTGCTTGCCCCATGTTTTCTTTAGGGGACTAATAGGAATATAAGCCAGGCACAAGGAAATCCAGGCCTCTTTATCTCTCATATACATAATGATTTGTGAGATCTTGAATATGTAACTAAAATAACCACCCTGACATTTTAGAGGGATTCATTTGTGTCAGATGCACTTTACTAATGGGCTTCTGGGAAGCTGGTGTTACTGTACTCTTGTATAGCTGCGGTAGCCAGGGAGAACAAATGAAGCTTGCATCACACAGATTCAAGGCTTACACTCACATTCAGGTCCAAACCTCCTGCTTGTCCACACTGCCTGTGAGTTAGTGCTCGCTCTAGATTGCAGTACACCAACTGACACTTCCACCTGGGAAACTTGGGGACAGCAGGGTTGGGGGAGCCACTGAAAGAGCAGATCTGGCTCACCCTCACATCTGCTGCTATAGGCAGTCTGTATGTCAGTGTCTGTGGCTCTTCTCAGGTGAGCACTTAGAACAAAAATTTAGACCTAAAAATCCAGATCAGGAATAGCTCAGCTCCAGTTCCTGAAATAAGTACAAGTCAGCACATATGTTCTTACAAACATAAATTTAACAGAAGGTAAATCATATTGTGCTAATCACCATTGATGGTTGACTATAGAATTCAAGGAAAGGAAAGTAAATTATAATATGGCACCTTTCATGGACCTGTTATTCTGTTCTTTTTCTCCTTTTGCAAAATTCAGATTTCCCATAGAAAATTTTTTTTTTTTTTTTTTTTTTTTTTTTAATTTTATTTCTTCTTCCATATTAAAATGTCCACCTGGAAAATTTAATTTTAATGACTGTGAAACACAGAATATATTCCCGCAATATTGTCTTGGTAATACTGAAACAAATCACATCAGGCTTCATTCAAATCATCATTACATTTCTTATTCCTTTGTGTATTTACATATTTACTTGTTTCTTTTTAAATTCAAATGAAAATTAAGTATCTGAGGCATATTAGGAAATCCTTATTTACTCCAAACTATATTTCTGCTCCTCCTCCTGCTACTTTGTTTCATGGAACTTTTCTTCCAAGCTGAACACAAAGGCCATCTGAATCCTGGTACGGCTGTGCAGCTGTTCAGATGTGAATGCTCAGTGTTTGGTGTTTTTATTGTCACCAGAGATAAATACTCCCTTAGGCACATGGTTCCTCTCACCAGATTAAAGCACTTCCTTAGGATAAGAGGAATGAAGTTGGTCTTTCTACAGATTCCATCAAATGCAAGGACATTTTCATTAATTCACCTGTTAGTTACTGTCTAATCAGGTGTTTGGTAAGATAAATTCCACTCTTATGTATCTTTTATCTTATCTTTCTTAGAGAGTATTTCAGATACCTTCATGGCTTATCAGCCTGCTCTTCTTCTACTAGACCTTCAGCTCTGTACTGTAAGTGAGAGTGACCCTAAAGAAGTCTTCGAGAAATTGTTGACTCTACTGTCAGGCAAGTGAATGATGCTGAGGTTTCTAAGGACTTGAATTCTCAGTAAAATGGTTTTACAAATGCTGATTCATTTGTTGTGCATTGTCCTGGTTTGGACTTCCGGGATTGTGATTGCCTGGTATTTCGAGATCGCTAGCCAGGAACGGGCTGGGTATTTTTCAGTAGTTGGTGAGCTATTACATTGTACATTGCCTGTTTATATTTTCTATTGCTGTAATTGTTCTCATTTTACTACCATTATTAAACTGCTTCTATCCCAGCCTCTGAGTCTCCCTTTACCCCTCCAATTCCCTCCCCCATTCCCAGATTGAGGGGGGGAAGGGTGGGTGATCAGCTGCAGGGTGGTTGACTGCCGACCAGGCTCAAACCACTACATGCATTCTCATATTTTCCTTTTCACCTTTTCTCTCCTTTTAAAAAGTTACGGGAAAAAGTTCATCCTACCAAATGTGTGTTGAAATGCTAAATGTTTGGTCAATGAAAACGAAGGAGGAAAGAATGGAGAGCTGTGCTGCACTGAGCAAAGAGATAGAAAAGGAATTTGTAGGCAAGTATTTTACATAAATGCTTATCATAATGATGATGCCCTCTATCCCAGATAGAAATTCCCACATGCGTTTGTAGTAAAAAGTTGCCCTGTAGGTTGCCATCTACCTGTTTCTTTAAGGTGATTGGGTTTTGTGCTTTTTCTCCACTTGGTCTTCCTCAGTGTATCTTGGAGAAGAAAGTAGTCTAGGAAGACTGTTCCGATCATCCCATGAATACTTTCCAGGCAAGTTTATGTCATTTTTAGTATATTTTATTACTCTCTGTATTGTATGTGCTTTGAAAAATTCCAGCTTTGGATCGCTGTGAGCTTGAATTCCAGTATAAATCTTAGGTACAGCCACTGTAGGAAGATCTGGTAAAAACCATATGGCAGAATATGTGCCAGTGATGGTATCATCCAGGGACTGGATTCCAATATTCACAAAACTTTCAGGTGTCATGAAAGCACTTAGAATTTGCCAACATAAGTAAATAGAATAAGAGACCTAATCCCGAACAGTCACTGTCTTCCATCAATCTTTGCTCCTAACTGAGCCTGTGTTGTCAGCAAGAATTCTCAGATGTGTCAAACTGGTGAAGAATCGGATCTCAGCAGCTGCAGGTAGTGGATTACTGAGTGGATTGCTGTTGGACACCTAGGGTCCCTGACCTCAAGTGTTGTATGGATCTCCCAACACTAGAGAAATTTTGAAATAAAAAGTCATGAACCAAGACATCCTAAAGCAAAACTGGGTTTTCTTTAACAGGCAATTTCATTCTTACTGTATTTTTTTTTTGGTCAGCTAATCAGCAGTTTTGTCCTTTTATTTAAGCTGAAGCTTGTTTTCAACTAATTGAACTCATTTAGCTTATATCTGCAATATTTAACCAACTTGGTTGTGGGTGAAATGAGGATTATTTGGATTTGTATCAAAGAGAGCAGGAAGAGGACTAAGCATGACACAAATAAATTGCAAAGTAAAATTTCACACTGAAATATATATTTACAATTTTAAGATGGTACATTACCTGTTTAGATCTAGGGCTCTGCTAGTTCCATTGGCCTTAGTGTTGGGTCAATTTTTGGCCAGTTTCTTCTCAAATGGACTGACTGGTACTCTGAGAATAAGCGTGGGCATTGCAGACAGATCTTTTTTCTCTCCAATGCCTGTTCCAAGCAGTGTGTTCACAGATAAGGCCTGGATTGTGTTTGTCTGTGCAATACAGTCCTCCAAACCCTTTCACTGGGCTGATCTTCTGATGTTCTCTCACATGATCTCTGGATGCTCTCATGGCTTTCAGCTAATATCCCCTACCTCCTACAGGTCATTCTACTGGTCTTTAGCATGGTGCTTACTTTATTCAGGGTAGTTTCTTCTGGAAAGCAGATGAAGAGAAATAACCATCCCTCTGAACAACAAGGATGCTGTAACAGGCTCAGAAAAGATCAGGCCTCCCTCTTGTACAACACTGGTGTAACCAGACCCTATGAGCCTCAAGCATGGTGAATGTGCCAGCTGGCGTAGGGCTCAAGTCCTGTGTCGTTCGTGCTTCTAGTGGCTTATTCAAATCTCTTCCAGCTGTACTAAGATTCCGTTACTTAATGTTAATTATTTGAACTAGTGGAAAGCATGGTTCTTTCTCTTCTGAAGCACTCAGGCCTTGGCCCTCAGGCTGTCTGTACACTATCTGCACATATTTCTTCTATCACCATGCATCTCCCCCAGATTTTGTTGTGCCAGTTGAAAAGTGAAGTTCTCTAGATTCAACTATATTCTGAATTTATTGTTTCTTCCTAGGTTCCGTGCGGGATGTCATTACGGTAGTGTTTAAAACAATCCAATGTGCGCTGACCTGGAAATGGGGAACAACTAATAACTTCCTTTACAACTGCCGTAAGAAAACCCCATGAAATCATGACTTGTTTATATTCAGAAAATACAGGGTGGTTGTGCTATCCAACTAGATTTATGGGGCAGAATGCATGGGGTTTAGCAGAACATTTTTTGTGTGATGTTAAACCAAGAAAACTGTCTTTGCTACTTACCTTCTACAATCAGCGAGTTAGCTTTCCTTTCCAGGATCCACCCTCTCTTAACAGCATCCCATTATGGACAGCATGTTATTTGACAGAATTATTTCACACTGCTCAGATCCAAATCTGCAGCATCACTGAAGATACATAAGCTCAGTTCTGTCACGTAAACACAGGCATCCAGTGTCACACACACTGCCCTTGCATACAAGGGACAACAGCATTAAGTTGGAAGACACAAAATATAGGTCTGTGAGACACCTAATGCCCTTTTGGAGGAGAATCTGAAGGACACAAGAAGTAACCTAAGGAGTTGGAACTGGACAGCTAAGTTTATGAAATTGAGTTGTGTTCCTTATGTGCGAGCAGTAACATTGATCTCTAGATTCCATTGCCTGCCCTAACTGAATGTTCACTTATGATAATGGAAGCTTTGGCACTGAGTGCATAAGTAGAAACCTGCATTTAGACAACTGCAGTTAGGTGTCATGATCCAGCATGAGCTGGATCATGCATGAATTTTTCTGTCAAAGATCTTCTTGTCTTAAAACTATAGGTACATAGTTCTAGGGGTGTGATCTCTTGACCTTCAAAAAGCCCTTCAGGAATCCTGGTCTGCAACTGACCACAGTCAGAGAGAGAGGTAGGTCAGAGGGATGTGGATTTCTCTTGTCAGAATATAGCTGGACATCTGGCTGCGCAGGAGAGGCAAGGAGAGGTAGGTTTCAATAAATTTTTGGGGTGCATCATCAGTGAAGACCAACGGACTCCTTTGGGGCTGGCCATGTATACATATGTATTTATGAAATCTCATTGCTTTTTTTTTTTTTTTTCATTTGATTAGCTTACAGTCAACCCTCTTACCTGATCAAAACCAAAACAATCTCTTTGATTGATGCTGGCCTGGCAATAAATTCTGCTTATCCTCTGGTCCTTCGAGCACAACGGCGAACAGATCTGATCATTTCCTTTGATTTCAGCTCTGGAGATCCTTTTGAGGTACATGTGTGGCTATGGCTTTGGAGAACTTCCTTTGGGGTCATTGGGTTGGGGACTGCAGAAATACATTACAATCATTGTCAAAGCAATTTTCAAGGAAATGTCTGGACAGCTTCTGACATGTTGGTAAGCTGATCATCACAATGTTTGGGCTTCTTTTCTAGGCAGTTTTCAGAAACACTTGTAAAACATAAACCATTTTGTCTGTCTTGTTCATGGGTATTGTATGGTAACCTACCAAGGTAATCAAGCTGCCAGGCTATCAAGGGTGCATCAGGGAGAAAGCTCACAAATTTCTTATTCTTCCTTTTTACCTTAGGGCTAATTAGAATTTTTCTGCCTGTAAGTGATATTACTCCTTCCTTAAGGTCAGCTGATGAGATTCATCAAAGAGAACCTCATCCTGGTGATCAGGATGAGGAAACATGGTGTTGACATTGAATTCTTCCAGATTGTTAGGGCAATTAGGTGGGGGAAGGACTATATACAAAACAATCACCTTGCTGTAGTTTCTGTTTCTTCCAAAGCTAGTGTTTGATTTGGATTTTCTTTTGGAGGTTGATTCAAGTTGATGAAGTTTAGTGTCTCATAAGAATTTAAAATGTGCTGGAATATCTCAAACAGCTGCTTCTCTGGGTATTTTCAGTGTGGTTACTTTAGGTACAGTGGAGACAATGGCATTGAGAGGCTCTGGCTCCATTAGGCATCTTACAATAGTCATTGAAGATAGATTAACTGATCTCTTCAAGTGCCCATTTCCATTCGACTACAGATAAGATTGTCAGGGAGCAGCAAGGGCCAGCTCCTCCCTACAGGACAGGGACGTAGGTTTGAAAACATGGCCAGCAGGGCAGGGGCCTCACTAGCCAGGGCCCAGCCCTGCAGCACCTGAGGGAGACAAGCAGGTCAGGGCTGAGGTTGGCAGACAGAGTCAGTTGGGAGGCAGACAGGGAGTCCAGATTATCAGGCATGGCCATGGTGAAAAGACAGGTCCAGGGTCAAGCTGGGAAGTCAGTCCATGGGTCAGGGTGTGGATCAATGGAGTCCATAGCCAGGCACTTATGTGCCTGAGCTGAATAGTGCTACTTGTACAGCACCAGTGAGGCCCCTGGGCCAATGGCAAGAGCACACATGGAGGCCCCAGGACCATGAAGGCCTACTAGTGCATTCAGGATCCTGACAGTAGATTTCCATCCCAGCAAAGTGTGTCCTCATGCTTGGGAGGTCTGGGTTCAGAAGGGCCTTGCTGTAGAGTGATTTCATTGTTATGGTTGTCAGTGGGCTATTTCAGGGAACACAGAGAGAAGGCATAGACTGGCAACTGGGAAGGGAATGTGGCATGAGAGATTTGGGATTGGATATGGATGTTCAGGCCATGGTCCAGGATGGATTTAGAGTGAAGAGGGTGGGGCAGTGGGTTCTCTGAGCTGCCTCTGGAAGGACATGAGAAAGGACATAGCTCAGGAGCCTTGGAATGGGTAGGAGGTTGGCAGTGTGGTGCGATAAGACCCCAGGGCCAGTATCAGCCTTCAAGAGGAGTTCTAGTGGCAAGGTCCTGCACATGTGTTGGCCAGGCTCCATGGTGCTTGGCACAGGGCTCAGGAATGCCTGAGATAACGGCCAAAGGCAAGCTGCTCCTCAGGGAAGGGGAGCCAGGAGTGGTAATAGGCCAGTCAGAGCAGAGCCTTGCCAACCAGTGCCCAGTTTCACAGCATCCATGCAAGTCAAACAAGGCAGGCTGGGAGATGACAGTCAGGCTCAACCAAAGGTTGGAATCATCAGGCAAGTTTGCTGCGATGAGGCAGGTCCAAGGTCAATTTGGAAAGTCAGTATGGATCAGGACTGGTGGCAGGTAAGGATGAGGTCTGCAGAGGATAACCAGTCTAGTGACCACTGGTCAGGTCCATAGTGATGACACCATTACAAGGTCAAGCTGGCAAGTCAGACTTTGGGTCAGGGACCAGATAAAGAGGTCTAAGGCTCAAGCATGACTGTGGCTAAACAGGAGACCAGTGAACCTAGGACATAGCTCGTGTAGGGGTTGAAGACAAAAGTCTGAGTTTAAATGGAGTTCATGGGCCCATGGGAAGGATCTGGTCCTTACCAACTCACACCTCAACAAGAATAAAAGAAAAGGAGCTTGGAAAATACAATTCTCCAGGGAAGAAGAGCAAAACTCTTACTAGGGACGAGAGAACCCCCTACCAGATGGCAGGAAACTTTTTGACAGACAGTATTTAAAGCAAAATACCTCCTTGGCCTTTGAGGGAATCTCATAACAGAATCTGTAAGAATTTTGCTCAGTTTCCCTTTGTGTAAGCTTTTTCTAATATATTCCATCTCCTTTCTCCTTTTATAAACAAATTTCATTACAATCGAGTGTAAATGTGCAATGTAGTTTCTGTAATTGCTTCCATTTAAACATATATGCCTAGGGGATTAATCTGGAGAGCTTGAGTGAAAAAAAAAAAAACTTGATAGGCTTTCAAAACATTATTTTTATTTCATATCATTCCAGGAAGATGTTGTGAGATGTTGTTGTGGTTTGGGCCTGATCGGCAACCAACCACCGCAGCTAATCACCCTCCCTTCCCCCTCCCCACCTGGGAATGGGGGAGGGATTAGAGGGGTGAAGGGAGACTTGCAGGCTGAGATAAGAACAGTTTAATAATGGCAATAAAATGAGAACAATAACGATGATGGGGGAAAACAAAAAGAAATATATAAACAGGCAATGTACAGCGTAATTGCTCACCACCCGCTAACCAATATCCAGCCCGTTCCCGGCTAGCAACCCCGAGATACCAAGATCCCACAATCGCAATCCCGGAAGCGAGAGAGCTCCTTCCCAACCACCCCTCCTTTATATAGTGAGCATGACGTTCCATGATATGGAATATTGCATTGCCCAGTTAGGGTCAGGTGCTGTGGCCGTGCTCCCTCCCTGCTCCCTGTGCCCTTGCGCATGGGAAGAACATGGGGAGTCAAAGAGTCCTTGAAGTCTCAGTAGCAGCTGAAAACATCAGTGTGCTATCAGCATTATTCTCATACCAAACCCAAAGCTAAATCCAAAACACAGCACTCATCTAGTCCCTGAAAAGGAATATTAACTCTATTTCAGCCCAAACTAAGACAGATGTTTGATTGTCTTTTGTGACTATAAGAGTCATCCTGTCTTTACTTACAATTCCACCTTTTACCAGAAGTGATTAAGGAAAAGGGATAAATCTGTGGAATCTAAGTCCTGGGGCAATTTGGTGAGGTGCAAGAAATAACAAGGTGTCAGTAAGTGCCTGTCTGTGGGAGAAGCCAGTAGTTTTCTTAGTGCCTAAGGCCCCATCTTTGTGAAGTGCATTCTTTGTGGAGGAGTTGTTGGAATGAATTGTGTAAGATTACATTTTCTCTGGGAGGCTTACATAAAGTGGCTGCTGTTCACATCCCTTGTGCCATCTAGAGTAGAATATAACAAATCCATTCAGAGAAGAGTGAAAAAGACTCAAAGATTATTTCTTCTCCTCAATTGCTAAAGAGTTGGAAGTAATATTTCTCAGGGAGACCACAGAAGATCTCAGTTTGTGCAAGCTCCCAACACAATGCCTACCCCAATCAATGCTTTCATGCAAAATCAAGCCAACGTTAAAGCTGATTTGTGCCTCGAATCAAGTGGGTCATTGTCTCCTTTCGATGGTCAGATCCACATATGCAACACATAGGGAGTTTTCAATTTTGTTAGAGTGGTAGAGCAACAGGAGGGGTTGCTTTGGAAAGTAAAATTTGTTCTGAAAGTTTGTGAACCTGGCGATGTCTTCAGATTGTTTTATAGATACCAAATCCCTTTAATTTTGACATCTTTCAGCATCAGCTACATTGCCTTTCTGGGTGTAGCTGTAGTTTATTGAACAAAGATTCTTACTAGAAGTGACCCCAAAAGTGAGTGCTTGATTTTCATTTATATTCTAGACTTAGTCTGTTCCTCAGAGAGTGCCTGAGGAAAATATAGACTTTTAAAGATATTATACATTACAATTAAGTATTGTCTAATAAACTAACCATCATTATTTTGCAACAAATAATTTTATTACTGGAGATAATAATGATTTATTCCAGGAGTTCAAACACAAGAAACAAACTAAAAAATGCATACAATTTCTCTGAGTCTCAGACTATCAAGAAAACAGCTACATACTGCCAGGAAAACAATATTCCATTTCCCAAGATAGAGGATCAGAAAATGGATGAGAACAACCCTTCTGACTGCTATATCTTCCGAGGAGACAAGTCATGCCCTACAGTCATGCACTTTCCACTCTTCAACAACATGAATTGTTCTGGTAACAAATACTCTATGCAACTTTGACTCTGTATATTTGCATTTCATATTCTCAACTTCCAGTGCCACACATTTCAGAGTCCTTCTTTACTCAGCGCTGCTGCTGTGAATGGACACTGAAAAAAAGGAACCATGCAGGATTTACATATAATGAATGGATAGAAGCTTCCACAGGCATTACTATACTCACTCTCTCAGATGTATATCCTGAACTATAAGGATTTGACACTCTTCTTGGCTTGTTCTGTAAATCAGTGTAGTTAAATTGTGTTCCTCCTACTAAAAAGGAGTTGGGGAGTCATCACATTTAGAACACAGAGTATCCAATTCTAGGATATTTACCGCTGCTTCCCTTTGTAGTTATTGGTGAGGGACAGGCAGGTCCAGAGAGAGATTTATCCCCCTCTCTCAGACAACTGATGAAAAAGTTGATGAAAGAGTTGATGAAAGAGACACCTCCAGACTCTGAGTGATATCCTCCTCTCTCTTCACTGGCTGCAGCAGGATCTTAATGTGATAAAGAACTTCTATGTGAAACTTGCAGATCATCAGGCATTAATGTTTTCCTTGAGTCCATGGTTTTCTTGAATGATCATCTAGTTTTCTGTTTGTCATTTACTTACATATTTCATCTACTTTTTTTTTTTTTTCCCTAGATAAAATAGAAGAATACAGAAAAAGATTTCCTACCTTTCACATGTTCTTCCCAGAGGGAGACATCAAAGATCTCCTTGAGAAAGCAAGGTTGAATGTATCCAACAATATTGGGAAGATTCTGGATGAGATAAAATGTCTTGTGTCTTCCTTTCATCCAAAGGAGTTCTGAGTGCAAGGGTTTTTTTTTTCCTTTAGTACAAGACAATGAGTTTATGAATCACTATAAATGGTATACTTTACCCCACTGCAATTTTCATTTAAACCATTTGGTGATAGTCTTCATACTGTGCTCTGGACAACTGCAATGTAGATTTCTCCATCTCAGCTACCTCTCTAAGTTCCTCTATAGTACAAAGAACCAAAGAGATGCTCTTAGAGAGTGAATCATTTGGCACATTTTAAAAATGTTTGTGAGAATAAGATGGCCTGAGTTTCTGAAGGGCTGAAGAGGCTTCTTTTAAAGTTGGATTAGATGAAGGTATTGGTGTTCATAAAGAAATTCTAAAAATAATAAAGCTAAACATAATGAAAAGGAAAAAAAAAGACTGAAGGAGAAAGAAAGAGGGAGTCTTTCCACAGAAGAATAGTTAAGCAGGAAGCAGGACAGATGATAAAGAATTAGACAGATAAGTACTAAATAAACACATTAAAAGGGAAAAAAGAACCTCTATAATTTTTGCTCTTGACAATGGAAGATGAATAATGGAGGAACCATGAAAGAGATGAAGAAAAATCTGGTGGCCAGAGACTTACACACAATGCTGGTAAAACTGGACTGTGTCTGAACAAGGGAAGGATATCTGTCTGTATGAACCAAATGTGAACTAATACTAGGCTCTGGCTGGCTCATGATACTGTCTTTGTTAACTTCTTTCTTTTTCTGTATTTCTTACTTGTTAATTTTTCTGGGGTTTTTTTCTGTGTATCTTAATTAAACCTGTTTATTAAATATATGAGCTATATCTTGTTACTAATGGCAGCCATATTTGGCTTTGTCCCACAGTGTGCTGTATAATCCTAGACAAAAAATGTGTCTATAATAACCTAGCATTGAACACGTATACCTGTAATATTAAACAACAACAACAAAAAACAAACAAACAAAAAAAAACCCCACCCAACCAAACAAACAAAAAACCCCAGCTTCCTCTGAGCTATTCTGGAATTCTTTAACTTGGAAGTGTTTTCTTATATTCAGACTGAATTAAAACACAGGAAATCCAATGTAAACACAGGAAAGCACTTCCTGTTTTTACTGTAATGCTGGTCAGACACTGGAACAGGTCACCAAGAGAAGCTATGGAGCCTCCTCCGTATCTGTGGAGGTATTCAATCCCACTTGGACAAGGTCCTGGGCAACCTTTCTGAGCTGACCTTGTGTACTGCTTTTGTCCAGGAGACATTTAATTTTCTTCATAGTAGCTTGCACGGTGATGCTGTGGTTTTGTGACCGGAACAGTGTTGATAACAGAACAGTGGTTTAATTATCACTGAACAGTGCTTGCACAGTGTCAAAAATTCCTTATTTCGCTTTGCTTGTGTGCTCAAATTTTGTTTTACCCATTAAGCTGTCTTTATCTCAATCCATGAGTTTTTGCACTTTTACCCTTCTGATTCTCCCCCCCATTCCACTAGTGGGGGAAGTCAGTGAGTATTGTGTGGTGCTTAGCTGCCTACTGGGGTCAACCCACAAAAATTCTTTTTGGTTCCCAGGGTTGAGCTCAAAGGGTTAAAGATAATGTTGGATTTGATTCAGTGTGCTAGACCAAATTCATATCTCTTACAGTTGTTCAGCAATTAATTGGCAGGCTCCTGTGCATGCCACGGGGCTTGCATGACTTAATGTATATTAGAAGCTAGTGCTTGCTAGTGGATTCTTTTGCTGGTAGCTGTACTGTTTATCTTCTTACTCTGCTGTGCCTGGGAACATTTTGCTAACAGCAATGGCTGTGCACCTGGAATGATAAATAGCCAGGACATTGATGCTGTTCCTGTGCTGCTGTACTGGACAGGCTGAAACTCCAGTGTGAACTTCAGTCAAAGGGACTGTGACCTATGGCTAAGTTCACATTGGTGCAAGTACACGTTGAAGCATCTGTGACCATGCATAAGTCTGTGCCAGAGCAAGTACGCCTCAAAGCCTTAGTGGCTGTGGGTAAGTGCAAGCTGCAGCAGGTATGCCCCTGAAGATAATGTGACCCATGTAAAAGGCCACACCTTAGGTACACCCCTAAGGGACTGTGTTCTGTGGATAAGCCCATACAAGAGCAGGGGCAAGGGGAGGAGTTCACTGCAGTGTTAAACCCTGTGGCCTGGTCCAAAGAGAACAGTGGTAGAGTGCGGAGCCGCGGACGAACGACACGCCGAGACGGGTTCAGTGTGGGAGATAGAGCATCAATCAATGTGTGTCTTTATTGGTCCAGGGTACATATATTTATACAGACAATGCTAATTATTATGCCTACTAGTCACTAGCTGATTGGCTTAAGCTCTAAAGGTCGTATTCGCACGGTCCACCTACTTGCAGTTAGCTTACAGCACAAGCTTCTCATAACACTAAGTTTCTCATGCTACTACTTCTGATTCCTATTGACTTGTTTTTGATACACAACAGTACCATAACACAATGTTTCTCAGACCACCGTTACCATAACACTAGGTTTCTCAGACCACTATTCCTAATTCCCCTTAACCTGTTTTCGACACACCACGGTACACAGGGCTGAAGCGTCCTTGACATTCCTCCTGTATCAGCAGCTGCGAGCAGCTGCAGGCAAACCCTAGTGAGGCCCAGCATCAGCAGCTAGAGCAGGCTCTGATCATACAATTGCTCGGTGGGCTCAGGACCCTTGTCTCTGATCCATTCTCCAACAATTCCCCCTTTTTCTTTTTGTATGAGCAGAGCCTGTGCTAACGTTCGTTCAAAGATTTTCTTAATACATGTCAAGGCACAACTCAGGCATGCAGGCTTACAATCTATTGGCTAAAGGCACGGGACCCTTGTCTCTGAGCCATTCTCCAACAATTCCCCCTTTTTCTTTTTGTAGGAGCAGAACCTGCCCTAACATTCGTTCAAAGATTTTCTTAATACATGAGAAGGCACAACTTAGGCATGCAGGCTTACAATCTATTGGCTAAAGGCACTTATCACGCACCCGAAGTGCTGTGATAGGTCTGCATCGTTAGCACGCGTGAACAAACTAAATCTACTTTGTGGTTAGTGTATCCAGGCATTCAAACAGGGAGGAAGCACTAGATTGACTTCCTCCTTCTTGCCCTTCCAGGTGATCTCAAGGGCAGGATTACCACGTGGCAGTTTTCTGATCAGAGACCCAGCCTGGATTGTCCAAACCCTGTAGGATCAGTGCATAACCCTGATCCCCCCCCAAAAAATTCCTACCAGGTTTTCCCCCTTTTTCTTTTTTGGACAATCCAGACTCCTTTTAACGTTTGAATCATAGCATTCATAAAGCATTTCCACACAGACCCCAATACCATCATGACAATCATAATGACAATCAGCATTACCAGTCCATGCATCAACAAAGCTTTCAGCCACCCAGTAATTTCCAAGTTTTGTAGATTTGCAACCATCATCAGTCCATTTTCCAAATTCCCAAGTCTCGTAACCAGTCTGTCAGTCCATGTTCCAATCTTATGCAGTCTTATGTAACAAGAAAACCATCCTTACAGTTTTAAAAGTGTCAGCAATTGTAACAACAGAGTATGCAATACAGAATGTTGTACAGGTTTCACCATGCTATGTTCTAAACATTGCAATGAACCCACAACATACAATGAATCTGATACTACATGAACAAGTTCTTGATACCAGTGTTGATGTTGAAACACCCAAATGACAGTTCAGAGTTCTAAAGTTCGTAAGGAGTCTCCAGACGCCCCGAGGAGAATCTTGTGATCTTGAGTTCCCAGGTGTCCCCCATTCGTTGTCACTACCGGGCAGGCCAACGCTCCAGCAGCATGCCAGTCCCCTTCTAACAAGGCATCACGAATCACCCCACTCCATCGGGACTGAGCTAAAATCGGAGCTGGTTCTGGTAAGGGTGACGGGAGTGGGTGTGGGGGGGGCTGCCGGCAGTGCTTCCTTTTCTTGTAATTGTAAATGCAGAGTTCTGTTCTGTAGCTCAACTTCTGTAATTTTCTTTCAAGTTCTCGGACTCTGTCCCTGTCCCTTACCGGTGTGTGACCCTGTTGCTTTAATTCGGACAGAGCCGCCGTTTTTCTCTCCGACTCTCACGCTGACGCGCTGTCAGGGGTGGAACCATCCGAAGGCGGGGGGGTGGGCAGAGTTTATGGTGGCACACCGCTCCCCCCTGTTCCCCCCGCGCCACCTGATTTCTCTGCGGCTTTTTGCGCGGTGGAGCAAACAGGAACACTTGGTGACATTCCCTTAATAGAGTGGAGCTGCTGATTAACCCCGAAGAAAGTGGCTAATCGTGACGGACGGTTGGTTTCGGCAGGGACCGGTGGAGATGGTACAGCGCCGACAGCCGCCATGGCAGCAGCAGCTACTTTCTTTTCTGCTGGCATCTCCCTCAGGGCTTTTACGATCATTCGCCAGACCACCCCTTGCTGTCGTGCTTCACTGCCTTTATTGCCTCCAGTGATAGTCTCGTCCCACAATAAATCACCTACTTCGCGCCACTCCTGTTGGCTAAATATTAGCGAGGGGCCATTGTCCCTCTACCCCTCCGCCTCCGAGGTAGGGGGGGGTGGGGGCATGACTGTAAAGATACTGGGGGGGGGCTGGCCTCCGGACTTTCCCTATTCACATTAACTGTAACTGGCCCTCCTGTTGATGGTACAGGAATGCGATCACTGTCAAAAAGCATAGATCCGGATGCCTCACTATCTGGGGTAACAGTGGAACTTTCCCCCCCCAACTTTGCAGTTGCCACAGCTGCAAGGTTCTTTTCAAGCTGATACCGCCCACTATTATTCACCACCTCCCGCCATGGTTTCATCATTTTCCTTGCAGCTTTATCGTCATCAATTACCATATCCCACAAAACATCACCTAATCGTCTCCACTCCTCGACATCAAAAAGAGAATTAGGATCTTGAAAACATCCTTTGACCCGTCCTAATGCTACTAAACCCGCGAGTGATTTTATGCAGTCCACTCCCCGCTTTTCTAAAAAGCGCTGTAATAAATCCAGGGCTACCTCCTGTTCCATCTCGTCAACCTGGTGCTCCTTGGTTAAGGCACCTCCGGTCCTGTGCTCCCTGGATAAGGCACAGTACCGTTACTGCCGACCCACCCCCGATTAAGGCACCGTCGGCCCTTTGCTCCCTGCTGAAGGCAAAAAAAATACTCCCGCCGGCCTGTGCTCCCTGTTTAAGGCACTAAAAATACTCCCGCCGGCCTGTGCTCCCTGTTTAAGGCACTAAAAATACTCCCGCTGGCCTGTGCTCCCTGTTTAAGGCACTAAAAATACTCCCGCCGGCCTGTGCTCCCTGTTTAAGTCACTAAAAATACGCCCGCCGGCCTGTGCTCCCTGTTCAAGGCACGAAAAAATTACCCCCTTACTTTGATATATTGCTGATGCTCCGTGACTAAGGCACCAGTTGCAGCTCTTGCCAGCAGCCCTTGCGGAGAGCGACCCTCTATCTCGGTTCAGGTCCTCGGAACGACCTGTCGGAGGCCCACTGTCCGATCGTTCTTGATTCGGCTAGGCGCTGCTGTCTCTGATGTTTCCCCGCGTTTGTTTCTGCCGCCGCTGTATGCAGCACCTTTCCGCGTCAGCTTCCGTCGCCCCTCTGCGTCAGTTCCGGCGCCTCCCCACATCCGCCCCCGGGGCCACCCTGCACTCGCCTCCAGTGCCCCCTCGTGTCCGCCCCCAGGGCTGCTCAGCGTCCGCCTGTGGCGTCCCTTCGTGTCCGCCCCCAGGGCTGCCGCAGTCGGCTCCTTACCACGTCAGTTCTGGCGCCTTTCTGCTTCCGCTCGCGGGGCCACTCACTTCCGGTCTCGGGTCCGGTCTGCCTCCACTCTTGGGGCCG